ACACGTCTATCAAAAATGTTGCAACCTTGCAATCATCCATGAGTTGGCCAGCCTCGTTTAAAATTTACAACTTGGAATGGTCGACGAATCATACACTCGACACCAAAATTTGTCAAATCAACACCGCCGGTGTCAATATATAACGGCCTTGGTTAAAATGTTGAATCCGAGTTATAATGATTTTTATACCGAGAGTTATAATGTTATGACCGGACGGAGAAACTTCATTACCGCTCGGAATCACAATTGTAACCAAGGCGGTTAAGTCATATATTGACACCGGCGGTGTTGATTTGACAAATTTTGGTTTTGAGTTAATTTTCATCAGAACTACACCACCCCATTGTTTTGCTTTATTTAAAATTCTCATATAATGAATGATAGAGAACAAAGCTACATCCGTGAAGCGTGTTACATAATTTGGCGTAGAACCGTACATAAGTCGAAATTTTTTGGGAAATACATAAATATATGCAAAACATCTACCTACATAATTAATGAATGTCATAATGTATTGACTTCTGCATCATGAATATAGCATAAATTAAGGTTAAGTGTCCAATGTTGTCAATGTACTAAGGATTGATAGAAAACCGTTAAGAATTTTTCAAACTTTTAAATTTTATGATTTTTATTGCTCGTGCACCTTTCGCAGTTTTGTATTGACGGACCAATAGTCGGCCAGATTCAATTCTGAGGTTGAAAGATGGATCTCCTATGGTGTCAAGATTTCATTCAGACATTTTTCGCCAGCGGGTTCCCCTACAGCCTTGGGAAGTTAGTTTTCCAGCCTGCGTCCTTGCACTCATTGACGATGTTAGTATTTTAATGACGATTTCCATCTCTGAGGTGCAAATCTAAAAAAACAATTCTTGGAAATTAAAAAAAAAAAACTTCTTTTGAAACTTTAAGTTTCCAAAGCTTTAACGAAAACTCAGCTTACTACATGTATGCAAGACAAAATAGTTTACTTTCACACGGGAATCATCATAGATGATATGTCCGTCGCGTAAATGATCTTTGTTCGACCTGGCCTAGTGCACGTAAATGCACGTGGGCCATGAGTTTTCGATGAGTTTTCCACGTGATCAAGGCTCCTAAGATAAAAACACTGTTAGATACCAATATGTCTGCGAAGGGTGCCCCATCAAACACGTATTGTAAATGCATAGAAGGCATAATATTTATCTGAAAAAGACTAAACCAAAAATTTTAACCAGGTATATATGTAGCTCCTGGTAGAGCAACTCAAATAAGTAAGATTTTCACGGAGATTGTCGAGATATTTCATGATTGCTGGACTACGTTTTTGCACTGACTCGGTTCTTTAACAAACCCAGAAATTGTGGGTGGTGACGCTATTTAGACGAATTCCGGCAATTTTGCTGCCCAATTTAGCTGAACGTAGATACGTACTTCGACTTTTTCTTCTTACGTAGGATATATATTTTTTCCAACAAACATCTCGAAGGTAATCTAATCCTTTACAATTAGATCGTTCATTAAGACTAAATCGATCATATTAATCTAACAATTTCAAAAAATAAATATGTAATATGTTCAATTGTAGAGTAGTGAAGAATTTGATTCAGTTAATTTTACTCCTAACGTTTTCGGATTTGTGACTACGAGAAAAAATGCTTTGTAAATCTATGTCTTCACTACAGTATTTTCCCCTTTATGATAATTGTAATTTCTAAAGGGGAACAGTTTATTCGAATATTGAAAAACATGCGTCATCGCACAACCACGATTATTTTTTTGGGGGATTTATAACTTTCATAAGTATTTAGGTTCAAGATAGATTTTTTGCCTGAACAAAGCTCGGGATTGCCAGAAGCGAGGTTACGTATAAACACTTTTATTTCGGTTATGTAAAAACACCTTTATTATAATTTATTCACACCTTGTTGAATTTGATTCAGGAGATTTTACTCGCCGCTCTTTGAAATTTACTGGTACAAAAGGAAAATCTATCTAAAATTCTTAAATATGTCTTCCTTCTACAACTTCTTTTCCTTTTTGAAAACTGTAATTTTTTAAGGGAACAATGTATTTAACAATATTATCGCACAACTTCATTTATGCATTAGCGTTTGGAAACTGTAATGAATAGGCCTTCTACCAATATAGAAGTACCTACCTCGGGTTCTGTCTCTAGTCGAAGATACCTGCATTCTCTAATACAAGAAATAAGTGATACATAAATCAATTTCTTTAATCATATCTACATAACTACATATTTATGTAATGAAATGAAGTTATTTGTGGTTATGATCTTCGGAATTGATTTAAGATCTACATAAATCCAGTTACCAAAATTAATTTCTGCACATAGAAATCTTGCTTGAAGTCAAGAATGCTATTTACGTAGTATTGCCATAGAAATGATCGTTTCGCCCTAAATGAATATTTAAATATTTGCCGACATAAATATGCATCTATTTCAGAATTTTCTCCTTTATGAAAATTGTAATTTCTTAATGGACCAGTTTAAACAAATATTGAAAAATATTTGCCAATTACTTTTTTGGCATTTAAAATTTTCATAAATATTTAGGTTCAAGCTAGATTTTTTGCCTGAACAAAGCTCGGGATTGCCAGAAAGGAGGTTACATATAAAACGTATTTGTAGTAACGTATTTAGAGATGTTTGAAATATTTAAAAATAAAAGCTTCCATATGTACACAAACTTCGACAAACGTAATAATTACGTTATAGTCGAGTTGAAAAACTTAATTTGCAAAGGTCCATAATGCATAATCGGTCCATTCTCCATGAAATTTGTTTAAATATAACTTCACATTTATTTTATTACTTCACAGTTATTTACTTAATCATTTTTAGCTAATTAATTAGTTAGGTTGCTTTTTTAATCCGTCCGTTCACTTATGTAGGCGCTCGACTTATTCGTGCTTTTGTCATGATTTTATTGAAGTGCAAAAGCTTCCATTCGCACAAAACTTGTCATCTGACCGGCAATTTGCAATTGGTAATTTATTTTTGAAAACAAATCATGCAGACCAGCAAAATGAAGCGTTGTGTTGTACAATTACATATACTACAGATCTCGTCAAGACTTACAATGCACATGTCCGACATGTTTCGCACGGATAATCTTGAAACCAGCATTAAATCAAGGAACTAAGCACAAATAATTGTTGGTGTCACATTTGAGCACTTCTGAAGAATTCGCGAAGATAGTTAGGGAAAGTGCGAAAACATATAGAAATCATGCTTACAGTCAAGAATTCTGATTAGTATCGTCATAAAAATCATGATTTCGCCCTTAATGTATATTTATATATTTGCCTACATAAATATTTATTTCGTCACTTCAGAATTTTATCCTTTATGAAAATCGTAATTTCTTAAAGGAACAGTTTAATCGAATCTGTAAAAATGTGTGCTATCCCACCACCACAATTATTTTTTTGGGATTTAGAACTCTCATAAATAGTTAGGTTCAAGCTAGATTTTTTGCCTGAACAAAGCTCGGGATTGCCAGAAAGGACGTTACGTATACGTGTTAACACCTTTATTTCGTCTTTGTAGTGACGTTAAGAGGTTCAAATATTTGAAACTCAATACAAACTAAAACTTAAGACAAAGTTTAAAATGTACTAAACTTGTCCTTTTAGTCGACTTGAACAACTCAATTTGCGTAAATTAATTAGTTAGGTTGCTTTTCTAATCCGTCCGTTCACTAATGTAGGCGCTCGACTTGCAGCTATTTTCTCGTCATACTTTCGTTTTCGTATTAAAAATACATCGAGATGAATTTTGCACAAACCGACTAAATCCACTCGGGTGTGACATTAATATGAAATGAATTTAGATAAATCCGCCATTAATTTTAATTTACCCGCTTTTCTATAAATTTTCATTTATGCACTTATGCACTTATGTAGTTATTTGCAAATTATCACTTGTTTTTGCACCTCTATTTCCTCCAAAGCATAACTTGTAACTCAATTATTTGTATGTTTGATTTACGTATTGTCTAACTTTTCTAGGGCATGGCACATATTTAGAGGTACATTCTAATTTTAGTTAAAATACTTGTTTCAAGTAAAAACTAAAACCTTATTTATTTATCTGTTATTTAGATAATATTTATTAGTAGTGTAATGCCAAATTCAAATTATTTAAATATGTATGTGCTACTATTTATTAGTTATTTATTATAAAATATGTACATATTTATTTAATATAATTAAATATAGTGACGTAAATATTTTAACTTTTGTATTATGGTTAACAAATATTCGTCAAAATTAGAAACCACCCCTGAATGTATGTAAACATATGTAGATGTGAGTTTTTTGCGTATACAGACTTCATAAATAAATAAAATACCAGCTCAAAAAATTATGTGTCTTAAAAATTTAAAAATTTTTATTTGTTTGCGTCCATAGTCTTTTGATTTACATAAAATTATTTAATCGTGATAATTTAACTGTATTCCTGCATACATACCTGTCAAATTAAGATCAAATTAAGAAATTCATTTGCGAGACCTTAACGAGACAAAAGTTCGTCGTCACTCATCTTCATAATGGCACTGACGAATAAATCTGAACATATAAGATCTTAAGTAAATAAATATTTACACAGGTCGTACATGTTACACAATATTTTTAAGGCAGAAATTGTCACATTCTTCATGCCCGGCCCTACAAGAGTAGATGAAATTACATACTTGTGCTAGTCATCTTGTGTGCTATATGTAAACAGGGTGGTTAAAATGTCACGCTACAATGGAAAATTTTTTCGATGCGAAAAATTCGTAAACTTCCATTAGTTACTGAAATTTTGTCTCCCAAATTCATCATTTCAGAATTTTGTCATCAATGTTCGATCAGTTTTGATATAATTATAAAAATCTCAACCAAAAATCTTGTAACTAATGGAGATTTAGGGATTTTTCTCATTGAAAAATTTTCCATTGTAGCGTGACATTTAAACCACCCTGTATTCTGAAAATAATGCTCCACAGGATTCCATAAGGAGAAACTAAAATGAAAACTAACCAAGAAATGGAAAACGCAAATGAATGTTACGAAATTCATCAGCCCGAAAACACCTTCAGCATTCTTCCCCCTGAGGTTAGCTACATTTTACATATAAGAGTTTAAATCTTCTACAAATTTAAATTTTAAAGTCTACACTTTATCTATAGATATACGATCATAATTTTGATCATTTCATATATGTCCCATTTCAGATTCAACATGAAATTTTGAGGATTTTATGAACCACTTGAATTTCCAAGTATCATTGCATATTCCTAGTTCTATTTCTGGCTTATCTACTTGTTAAACACGAACTTTTGACTTAAAAATTAAAGTCAATGAAAATATTGAAAATGTTATTCTATTGAATATTGAATTAGTTTTACTTTAATATTTCATTTTAAAAATTTTGTTTCAACCGGCTCCATATCCTACAAAAACCCACAAAACCTACAAAAAACCCGGAAAAACTTTCAGGGTTGGGGTTTTCTAGAAAAACCCCGAGGTTTCCTGAACCCTGTTTGTAATATATTAGAATACAAATATAATTGTCATCATATTCATATTGGCATACTTGCTCGTTTAACTCGAACAATTTCTTTCTTGTTTAAATAACCTTTATTAAATTAATTACAGATTATCGACCAGATATTCACCTATTTAACCCTCTCGGACCTAAAAACCGCTCGGCAAGTTAACCACGACTGGTTCAACTTATCCCGTCAACGCTACAGAAGCTTGGCTGTCATTAAATTTGACTCATCTGCACGATGTAATGGACCCGAACTATCCGAATACATTGCATCCTACCCGCACTACCTGCACCGCAACTTTGAGATCTTCACCACTGTCCCGCACGGGACGAGTGAGACATGGTCGTACCACTCGTATCAAGCTTTTTTGCGAAATATTGGCAATTTTTTTCAAAACCATGGCTCCCATTGTGACCGACTAGCATTCCATCATATTGGGCGTGTCCCTAATGAAACACCTCAAAGCCAAATCTGGTCATTTTTTTGTAATTTACTAAGCACCACTCTAAATTTGACGTCCCTTCACGTGCACATGAATTTTTTTGTGGAAGATGACTTCCACGTGGACTCTTTCCCAATTATGAGTCTCGTAAATTGGTCACGTGTTCGAGAACTCCACGTAAATCTGTGTCCATATGGGTACGATATTACCAAAACAAACAAGTTTTCCCACGTGCTGCCCACCATTTTCAGAAAAGCTGTTAATCTAACAAACCTTACGAACAGTGGTCCCATCGAAGACTCTATGGAGGGTTTAAGCCTCGCTACGAGTGATACTGGCGGAAAAACTTTACGCAATTTGGACCAACTTGGATGCCCAGGATTTCCTTTGAATCAATGTAAAATCACGGAGGAGGAAAACCGGACTATTCTGAGATTAAATATAAAGCTTAAAAAAGTGTCTCTACGTGTCGTTGGGAATGTTGAGCTACAAATTCTGCACAAGTTTAAAGAAACTTTGGAAGTCGTGTGGCTCATCGCGTACGGTCCAGATTTTAAACTCCCACCACTTCCGCGACTGAAGAGGCTTTCCGTTCAAGACCAAGTGACAAGTATGTAAGACATCGAAGAAATTTTATAAATCGGCATATTATCTAAGTAACAATTTTTGTAACATATTTAGCCCATGAAGAAAGTCAGTACCGTAGAAATGAATGGAAATATCTGAAAAAATTTAAGATAACAATGAACTTATTCGAAATTGGAGACTTGTTTAAGGTATAGTACATAAGCTAAAAAGGGCACCTTTTTTCAACCTATACCGGGATTTTGTAGGAGCGACTTATACAAAAAAAATCAAGCCAGAGATCAGGAACCACGTGGCACTTATATATGTTTCCGTTGAAGAAAAATTTTTGGCGGGAAACTTCAATTTTGCAGTATTTTTCACCACGGGGCGAAAATCAAGGCGAACGTGAATACTTGGTTGCCGGTTTTTGCCTTGATTTTTTGATATAACTCGCTTCAAAAAGGGTTCCCGAGTACGTCGCACCTTTACAATTTAAACTTGTTTTGGGCTGTAAATTTCATTAAATTCCATTTCACCTTTCTTTTTCAGGCACCCCAAAATTTAAACGTATACCTCCCTTAGCTTCGCCACTTCGAATACACCATGTTCTCGAGGTTATACACAGAACTGAATGAGAATGACTACGGCGTTGAATTATACAATATAATATTTCCGAACTGTGATACGCCAATTTACAGAATTGTCAAATTGAATATCACCTATCCATCCAATCCAATTAACTATCAACTGATCACTGTCCAGTTAGTCAAACTTTTTCCTAACGTTCACAATCCTCACTTAAATTATGCAAGAAATATAAGCAAATGAATAGTTTAAGAATAATGTGTCATACTTGAAATATGTCATAATTAATATGAAACAATCATAAAATGGTCATACATACTTGTTTTGAGTATTTTTTTTCATTCAAAAGTCAGTTATGTTTTCTGACTGAAGATTTTCGTTTACATACATTCAGTTATTTTCTATCAAATTCATTTCATTCATTTCGAATCCTTCACTCATTTTCATTAAAATCACGGGAAATTAATTTTCATGCACTATCATTCTCCATCATAATCAGTCACATGAACGAAAGTAAACAGGTATGGGATTGTTAGATTGTTAGATTTGCTAACTTAGAGTTTAATAAGTCGGTAATCGATAAATTTGCATGCTAAAATTGTGATGCAATTTATAAAAATATATACATACCTACATAAATTAATGTACAACTAAACTAGGCATTTGTATGAATAAGCTAAATTTAAATACTGTTCAACAAATATTTATTCTTTTGCATGAAGAATGGAAGAATAATTTTATTCATTAGTTATTTTTCACATTATGTATAATATATGTATAGGTTATGAAATTTTTTTTACATTTTTGTAAAAAGGCGAATGTGGGATCAAACGAATAAAAAAAAAATTAAGAACGAATATGGAAATGTTACTTTTCAAGTTTGAACTAAATGAATAATGAATGAATGTTTTGTTTAGCTTTTAAATTAAATGAATTTTGAATGAAGAAATAAATTTATAAAATTAGTAAATGTTAAATTTAGATTAGATTAGGAATTACTTAAATTAAAAATTGGATTAAATAATTATTGAAATTATTTATTTTATTCCAACTTGCACCTATCGCGACCAGCGGCGTAGCCAGGATAGGGCCTTGGGGGGGGCCCAGCCAAAAAAAATTAGATTACCCTTTTGGGTTTAAAATTTCACTCACACCGTAGATACATAGGTACACTTTAAGTATTAAAAACCACTAGCTTTAGCATGCCATATTCACCTGACCAATCAACTCCTCAAACATGTATTTTATGTGTAGGAAATATGGTGATATATATAACTCATCCCAGTGGTTTTCTTATGCCAAAAAAATCGAACCAAACATTAACGAGGGTCTCCAAATTTGGGCTAAAGTACCAAGTTGCTTTCACGCAAATCGTGACATCTCAGGTAGTGGTCAGTTAAAAAATAAACCTTGTGTTCCTTGGATAGAAAACCTGTTGTGCATTCAAACAAAAATTGTACGGAAAAATCCGGGCAACATGAAGGTATTGATAACAAAATTTTAAAGATTACTCAAATATCAAACCAGTCTCTAATTGAGAAAAATTTGCAAAAAGTCATCATCCAGGAGCATGATGGGAATAAAGAGTAAAGACTAATATAGAGGGTGTAAATTTATTCCGGTAACATTCATTTTTTGGCCTTCGCTAGAGACAATATCAGCTGTAACTATTGATCCCGTTAATGTTTTTCGTTGACATTTTTACCATGGGTAGAATGAAGATAAGTGCTAATTAAAATCACCATAGCTTTGAGATGCAGGTCCTAGGAGCGGGAAATTCTAATTAAAAATTAAAATCATCCAAAATTCAGATGTGCGGGGAAAAGTTCGTAGCAATGCGTGAAGAATAATTTTTCCAAGGATGTAAAATGACCTGAACAATTCAAAATAGAGATGCGTCGAGCAGCAGTTTTCAAAAGCTCGGATCGCGAAAGCTCAAAACAAGCTCGACGCAGGAAAAACTCGAGCAAGCTCGGCTCGTTCAAGCTTTACTTGAAGAAATTTTGGCTCGTTCAGCTCAGTTGAACCGAGCCGAGCATGATCAAGCTCTGCCAAATTGAGCGCTTCTTGTGGCATACTCCATGCCCCTTAATTAAATTCTAAGTGAATATTTATCGTTGTAATAAGGTAATTAAGTTATCCATAAATTTAGAACTTTGGGTTTCCTGCTGGATATATAACTATTTAACTAAAATTTTAACAACCCAGAAATAAATTGTTAAATAAATGGTTTGCAGATGAAGGAAATATTTTACAAGCTATATTATTCAGTTTTCGTGTAAACAGGTTAAATATTAAGGTGAAGAGGGGAAGAGTAGTTTGAACTACACGGATACAAATTTTTTACTTCACCACACTTGAAATTTTAGAAAACAACGAGCTTTTGAAAAGTTCGGTTCGACCAAAAAAAAGCCTGGCTCGCTCTAGCTCGACTCAGGAAAGGCTCAAAAAATCTCGGCTCGCTAAAGGTCGGTTCAGGAAAGGCTCGGCTCGCTAAAGGTCGGTTCACGAAAGGCTCGGCTCGCTCAAGGTCGGTTCAGGAAAGGCTCGGCTCGCTCAAGCTCACAATGGAGGTCTCCCAACATATGCACACAGATTTGGAACAAACCGGTGTCAATCGATCACAAACATAATTAGTATGAAATATGCAAATGAAAATATCTGCTAATGCGCAAGTTTTGCTGAGATATTTGCATCCAAAGCTGGAAAATTGTACAGCAAATTCGGAAAATGAAAAATTTGCTAGCCATGGGGGTGCGTTTTCTCCTCTTTTTATGCAAATATCTCCGCAAAATTTAAGCATTCGCAGATAGTTTCATTTGTATATTTCAGACTAATTATATTTGTGATCGATTGGCACTAGTTTAGTCCAAATCTGTGAGCATACGTTGGGAGACCTCCATTGTCAGTTAAAGTCGGGCTCACCGACAGGCTCGGTTTACCTTAGCATTTGGCTCACCACTAATCCAAATTTGTTTCACCCACTAGAAAAAGACTGACTATTCTAAAATTTCATGAAATACTTACATACTTCAACTAGTTAGTTTTAGTAACTTAAAGTTCTTGTCCAAATTATGAAAGCGAGTAATACCTACGAAAAATAAACATTTTCTTTGCAGTGAATAATGTTACCGGAGTATGTCAATTTACACCCATTGCATATCTAATAGAAATTCTGGTGACGAAGCTTAAAATATTTTTTACTGAAAAAAGTGACGAACATTTGAATGAAAAATTCAACGACGAATTATTTAAATGGACACACATCATATTCAGAACCGATATCCAGATTTCTCTTCGCATCCTTACTAAGGATTCCTTAGTATCGGAAAATAGCATGGAAATTAAAAACGAAGCATCAAGCTTCATAAAAACCGTGAACTTACAATCTGGAGACCTGAAGTGGTTTTCTCCGATTTTGACCGGACAAATTTAAAAATTCGTGCTCAGAAGTAAATGATCTTTCCGGAATGCGCGTAGTTTCCCTTATTTTTTAACCTAATTTTAAACGAAAATCAGGATTTTTCAAAACCCTGTAACTATTTCAATTTTAACCCGATTAAAAACATTAAAGAACAAAATACTCTAAAATAAACTTTTAAAATTTAAAACTTGCATGCTACCTTGGAAGTTTGAAAAATGCAAAGAATATCAAACTTTTTAAAATAATTTTAATTTTTCGAGGTAATTTTTCTAATTAATTTTCTGTAATAGCTGAATATCAGTCATTCTTAATATCAGTTTAAAATTGAAAAAGTTATAGAATTTTGAATGATTCTGACTTTGGTTAAAAATTCCGCTATAAGGCAAATACGTGCATCGACTAAAATACAAATTTGTAGATATTTTAATTTTCGTGCGCTAACAATTTACAAATATAATTCGCCAGATTAAAATTGGAGAAACCCATTTGGTGCTTACATACACGTGTACATACTACAGATATTGTAGCTTGATTTTTAGCCCGAGTCAGGGCTTATGGAACCGTCATGTCCGTCCGTCCGTCTGTCTGTCTGTCTGTCCGGCACGATTGAGCCAAAACGGCTGAACCGATTGACTTGAAATTTTTACCATATGCATATTTGACAAAGTTAGGAAACGAGTTCGAAGATGGGCGAAATTGGTCCAGTGGTTGACCGGTGGGGGTCATAGGAGTGGGTGGGGTAGTATGCACCAAAATTTCAAAATTGTTGTAGAGAGTTGAAATTTGGTACAGAGGTTGCTAATGGCTTCTACTAGATAAAAATGACTTCAAGTGGGAAAAATTTTCATCTTGAGTGACCCTATGGGGTGACCCATACTGATTTTTAAAAATCATCATATCGAACTGAAATTTGGTGGAGAGGTTGCTTATGGGCTTTAATGAAAGAATATGATATGATATTGGTAAAATTTTTATCTGGAGAGACCCTATGGGGTGATCCATACCGATTTTTAGAAATTGCTTTAAAAAGATGAAATCCGTCACAATGATACTTAATGCCTTCTAATTAAAGAATATGAAGTTAAAAGTGAGCAAAGTGCAACCAGAGTGACCCTATGGGGTGACCCATACTGATTTTTCAAAATCGTTATATCGAGCTGAAATTTGATATGGAGGCTGCAAAAGTGAAAACCACTGCTGGATAGCACATGAAGCGGGTTCTGACTTAGTCTGCACTGTAGGTTTTTTAGTACAGTTTTACGACGCTTCCAAAATCTCTCAGTTGTCCTAACATATTTTTCGACCCAAAAGATAGTAAGGGTACAAAGTAATAACGAACTCCGCTAATGTGTAGCATATAACTTCTACGTAACTTATTTTTTAATTTTTTAATTTTTTTTAATTTTTTGCAATTTTTTAAGTATTTTTTTTTTAATTTTCCGGGCTCTGGGGGTGGCTCAAGCCCCCCTAGCCCCCCCCTTGGCTACGCCGCGATTCGCGACGACCTTATCATAATTAATTGCATGGTTTGTGCCAAACAGAAATTTTGAATGATCAGCGGAGTCCCACGATCGATAAAATTCGACCCAAATTTTAGTTTGAGACAGTTCAATGACCTCATTTCCTTCCTCAGATATGCCCTTCCCTCCCGCCATGTGTCTCATATTCCCCCCATACTTCTCCAACAGCTCCATTGACCTCGAATTGATCCACGAAGCGAGAGTAAAGACGAGAACATCATTCGTAAATCCGTCCACCATGAACACGGGAAAGATCAGAAAGCCCGGCATCGCGATTTGGTCATGCATCGTTACGGACACGTATTGCGCGATAATTTGAATCGCTGGTATGACTGTGACCACAACGGGGGAGATTCTCGCCATAAGGAATCCGTTGAACATTTTCTCCAAAATGTGCACCTGTCGATACGTTCGGATGCAGAGTTTGTGTTCAACCAGGGTCTTTGCGTGGGCCATTTTGCTAGTAAAAGACGGATATATTAGACATAATTAGTAATGTCCTGTTTTGCTCGGGTAATACTTGGGGAAGGTTGAGAAAGAGGAATTATCATACTTTTTTGGGGTTCGCTGTACAGTTTTTTGAGGAAAATATGTACAATATTTAGAAAACGTGCAGCAAATATGCAGAAGTCCTAAAAAATACATTACTAACATTTTTAGAAAATCTTTCGATGATGAATTTATAGTAAATATACCAAATTTGTAAAAAAAATACATTGATAAAATTTTTAGAAAAATGTAGAACAAACGTAGTGTTTGTAAAGATCAATTAGTTGCATT